CTCACGGAAGATATCTGAGTATTCGTTAAGGAGAGCTTCAACCGCAGGGTCATTTTCAGTGATCTGGGTAACGGCTGTATTCAGTTGCAATTTAGGCCGTACTAGCAATCCATGCGCCCCCTTGCGAATCATACGGATAGCTGCTTTGCGCCCAACGGGTTCAGGCTCAATTCGCTTACAGATAGCGGCAGCAGCAAAATTCACACAGGGTTCGGAGTGCGCAGCACTAGTATTCCCTTCTCCCATCCGTTCCGCAGTGGTGAAAGGCGCCTTATAACACAAGGTTCCCTTCCATAACTGCAAGGTGTGGGTCTCATAATTCAGATGAGCCCCATACTGATCAAGGGTAGCGGACCCTAAGATAAACGTGGCTGCATCAGTAAACTTAGGCAGCACATACGGACGGACATTTAGGCGCAAAGGGCCCAAGGATATACGAAGGGAAACTTGACCCAAAATGACCTGCTTACCCCCGTCAGCAAGGGTGACAGATGACCACGATGTCGGTTGAGGTTTCAGTCCGAGTTGCTCAACGATGGACGCAGAAATGAAGTCGTCGCTGGCCCCAGAGTCGGCCATGGCAGTTAAAGAATGTCCAGCGACACGAATGCCAACTAACGGGACTCTGGGCCCTGTTGACGCAGCAACTTTTGCACACAGGACTGAAACATGGGGCTCCGTGTCAAGGTGCCCCAGGACAAGAGGGGGATCGTACCAAACGTCAGCAGTATACGGCAGACCTGGAAGGGAAACAAGTTGACCCGTCATGTCTACACCGTTGAAAAGCTTGCTACCAGCGCGAAACTGAAGAACCCGACGCATCCCTATCAGCAAGGAGGCAGCCCTCGGGGATACATGTGCTGGTAACAGTAGACAGGCAGCGGTGTCCGGTCGCTGACGTTTGCAAATACGATAGTAAGCCAGCTGAGACTGAAGTTCCTTGAAAGAGGAAGGGGAAATCCAAACGGTATGCCCACCCAAGTTACTAGAGGTTAGACGCCGTGGAATAGCAAAAAGATTACAGTGCTCGTCAAAACCAGGACGAGCAGTGCGAGCGTCAAACGAAAAACGCCGTCCAACGGCCTTCTCAACTTGGTTTAAAACGGCCGGTAAAACAGCACGGACAGCACGTCCAACCGGGCAGATAAGGGGTACCGTTCGGGTTTGTAACCCAGGGAGTGCTTCCCTAACACTATCCTGGGCAACCCCCTATTTTTCCCCGTTCCTAGCTCTCTTCTCTGACAGCAACGGGCACTCTGCTACTAGGTGCTTATCCTCCCCACAGCGGAGGCAACGGCTATTTTTCCGGCGGTACTCGTACTCCGCCCGAGTGCAGTAAAACTTATTCATCCATTCGGCCAGATTTGAATCCCGGCCACGCTTGCCTAGCACCGTCGCCCCTGTTCCCGCGGCAGCGGCCCTGGGCCGACCCTTGTCCCTATGCTTGCCACCCCGACCCCTGCGCCCACGGTTCGACTCACCAGCACCGGAGGCCTGGCGAGCTGTATTTCGCCCAGCGGCAACAGTAGCAGCCCGAGGCCTGACCTCCGGTGCCGGGAGGTCCCCGTCGTCAGTGATGATGGGCGCGGGATCCTGCACAGCGGTGGAAGCACGCAGAAACACGCGGGTTTGGGCTTGGGAACGAAGTTTAGCAAGTTGACGGGCCTCTACACCAAGCGTGTGCTGCACAAGTTTGGCATATTCCTGAAAAGGCTTTCCGTCATGGTCGGTAGCACATTTTCCCGAGAACTCAGAGGAAAGGCCGCGGATAAACCAGAAAATCCGATCAACCTCCCTTAAGTCAGGAATGGGTGCTATGAGAGCCTCGAAACGACTATGGTACGCGGCTACCGTTTCGTTTGCCCGCATCTGATGCTGCCCAGCAGCAAGCTTTTCTAGCGCTTCTAGTTCGCGCGTTTGAATCTGCAGGGCAAAACGAATTAATAGCGCCTCCAAAAGTTGCTCTGAAGTATATTGCAACCGCGCGTTAGTCCAGTCATCATGCCAGGTTTTCGCGGCGCCTTCAAGAGCGTTAGCTAAAAATAAGCAACGGATACTGTCATGGTTTCCGCCCCGCACGAAATCAAAATACTTCCGGACATCGCGGACGAAGGCGCGGACTCGTGGCGCAACTTCCCGCGATAATTCACTAAGCTTAATCTCCGCAGGAATATTGAGCCTAGGTACCGGAATAGTGATTCTGATCACCTCATCGCTGGCCCCAGCGGGCAAGCCGCGCTCAGTAGCGGCGTTGTTCTCTCCATCGCCGGCGGTCGTCCCGGTGGCGCGACCCGCGATGTGTTCCACTGCAGGAATCAGAACATCGGATGAGGGATTATTCATATTTATTAATTGGTTACTGTTATTCCGGGCAATAGGCGGCGGCGGGACAGTTCCATTGATAGTGGAGGGCAATCCCCAACGACTTCGCCTAGACTGCTCCATTTCCACTATCCTGACCCAGATCAGGCAGACCGCGTACCCAAGTAAAGCGAACTGTCAATTTTTCTGGAAGTCTGTTCTAGCACCGAACGGGTGCTACGAAGCTCTTGACAGAGCCTCCGGCAAAGGGCAGGGACCGCCGAAGGAACAGGCGGTTCGGAGCCTGCAGCAGTCTTACCGCTATTAACCCAAAATCCTAGAAAAAGTCAGCAAACAGATTTGCTAAAGTAGTTTACAGACCGGCGGCAGCGACTTCACGGACAGCATCGCCAAGAGCGTCGACGATTGTAGCCAAAGGTCCGGTGACGTCGTCGACCTCCATCCGCGCGCCGGTAGAAGTGGGGATCTTGATGGCAAAAGGGGGATCTTGAAAATTTCAGAAATGCGAGAGGCCCCGGGAGGAACCGTCTCGATACCAGACTTGTTGTATCTTACTAAACCACAACTGGATGGTGGCGTCGGAAGACACCGATTTGGAAGAGTTTCGCCCGCTTAAATAGCGGAGGATGCGGCCATCCCATGAATCGTACAGCCAATTCCGAAAAGGCGCGGTCCAGTCCGGAATGGCATACCGTTGATCCATGCTTCCAATCGATGACGGGGCTCCGCGAGCCAGGGACCACGTCCCAGTCGTAGCCTGTGCTACGACCCCCGCCCATACTTCTGCAAGTATGGACTTCCGCCTGAGGCGGCATTTACTTGTAGGCATCCATGACAGCTTCCCGCTCGCCGTCTGACCCAGAGGTCGGAGCCATAAAGATCTGACAGAAAAGCGGCAAAATAGGCATTTGGAATTCAGTTAGTTCCAGCGAACTTGTCCAGTAACTGCGCCAAGCGAGAAAGGAAAAATTAGACAGAAAAATGTATCAGTTTGGACCCAGATTTAAGAAGCGGAATACAACAACAGTGAACAACTTCTGGGATGTGTGCAAAACATGGGCCAGGGGTGGTCATGGAGTGCAGTGTATGACTCGTGTAAACAATGTAAAACATGTGCCAATGTGGTCATGGAATGCAGTGTACGAGTCATGTAAACCAAGCAAAACATGGGCCAGGGTGGTCATGGAATGCAGTGTACGACTCATGGAATGAGTGCAAAACATGGGCCAGGGTGGTCATGGAATGCATTGTTCCATCATGGAATACCATGCGCAATATGACCTGGTCATGTTCCGCATATTTATGAGCAGGTACATGACCACCTTTATGACCTCATGGGGTCATAAAGTGCAGCCATGACTGAATACGGTCATATTGCGGTCCCATGACCTGTCATAAATCCAATCATAAATCCCATCATACCACGCATTTCATGACCCCAACCAGCCATATCCTGCACTTGCTTATGCAAACTATGAACTGATCCATGACTTAATGACAAATTATGACCGGATCCATGACCACATACATGACCAAATCCATGACTTAATGACAAACTATGACCGGATCCATGACCACATACATGACCGAATCCATGACTGGAAAACCCGTCCATGACCAAGTCATTCCCCGAGTGCTCTGCCCACACAGACCTGCTGGCCAGCCAGGTCGCACGGGGTTGCCAGAGGAGCAAGGCCCCCTGGCTCGTTCCGGGCATTGGGCAGGTGGCGCCCGACGTCGGGAAATAGCAACACAGCAGCAGCGGCAGCGACGGCGTTGGGGCTGGGAGGTGCAGTAGCCTAAACGGCAGGCACGGCGGCGGCGGGAATTAGCAACGCAGCAGCAGTGGCAGCGACGGCGGTGGGGTTGGGAGGTGCAGTCGCCTAAACGGCAGGCGCGGCGGCGGCGGGAATTAGCAACGGAGTAGCAGCAGCAGCGACGGCGGTGGGGCTGGGAGGGCCATTAGTCTCAACAGCAGGCGCGGCGGCAGGGGGAAATAGCAACAGCAGCAGGCGCGGTGGCGGGGGGAATTAGCAACGGAGTAGCAGCGGCAGCGACAGCATTGGGGCTGGGAGGTGCAGTAGCCTAAACAGCAGGCGTGGCGGCGGCGGGAATTAGCAACACAGCAGCAGCGGCAGTGATGGCGGTGGGGTTGGGAGGTGCAGTAGCCTAAACGGCAGGCGCGGCGGTGGCGGGAAATAGCAACGCAGCAGCAGCAGCAGCGACGAAGGTGGGGCTGGGAGGGCCATTACTCTCAACAGCAGGCGTGGTGGCGGGGGGAATTAGCAACGGAGTAGCAGCGGTAGCGACAGTGTTGGGGCTGGGAGGTGCAGTAGCCTAAACAGCAGGCGCGGCGGCGGCGGGAATTAGCAACGCAGCAGCAGTGGCAGCGACGGCGGTGGGGTTGGAGGTGCAGTAGCCTAAACGGCAGGCGCGGCGGCGGTGGGAATTAGCAACGCAGCAGCAGTGGCAGCGACGGCGGTGGGGTTGGGAGGTGCAGTAGCCTAAAAGGCAGGCGCGGCGGCGGCGGGAAATAGCGACGCAGCAGCAGCGGCAGCGATGTAGGTGGGGTTGGGAGGTGCAGTAGCCTAAACGGCAGGCGTGGCGGCGGCGGGAATTAGCAACGCAGCAGCAGTGGCAGCGACGGCGGTGGGGTTGGGAGGTGCAGTAGCCTAAACGGCAGGCGCGGCGGCGGTGGGAATTAGCAACGCAGCAGCAGTGGCAGCGACGGCGGTGGGGTTGGAGGTGCAGTAGCCTAAACGGCAGGCGCGGCGGCGGTGGGAATTAGCAACGCAGCAGCAGTGGCAGCGACGGCGGTGGGGTTGGAGGTGCAGTAGCCTAAACGGCAGGCGCGGCGGCGGTGGGAATTAGCAACGAGCAGCAGTGGCAGCGATGAAGGTGGGGTTGGAAGGTGCAGTAGCCTAAACGGCAGGCGTGGTGGTGGGGGAAATAGCAAGAGCAGCAGGCGCGGCGGCTGGGGGAATTAGCAACGGAGCAGCAGCGGCAGCGACGGTGTTGGGGCTGGGAGGTGCAGTAGCCTAAACGGCAGGCGCGGCGGCGGCGGGAATTAGCAACGGAGTAGCAACGGCAGCGACGGCGGTGGGGTTGGAGGTGCAGTAGCCTAAACGGCAGGCGCGGCGGCGGTGGGAATTAGCAACGACGCAGCATTGGCAGCGATGAAGGTGGGGTTGGAAGGTGCAGTAGCCTAAACGGCAGGCGTGGTGGTGGGGGAAATAGCAAGAGCAGCAGGCGCGGCGGCTGGGGGAATTAGCAACGGAGTAGCAGCGGCAGCGACGGTGTTGGGGCTGGGAGGTGCAGTAGCCTAAACGGCAGGCGCGGCGGCGGCGGGAATTAGCAACGGAGTAGCAACGGCAGCGACGGCGGTGGGGCTGGGAGATGCATTAATCTGAACAGGAGGCGCGGCGGCGGCGGGAGATAGCAACGGAGTAGCAGCTGCAGCGATGAAGGTGGGGCTGGGAGGGCTATTAGTCTCAACAGCAGGCACGGCGGCGGGGGGAATTAGCAACGGAGTAGCAGCGGCAGCAACGAAGGTGGGGCTGGGAGGTACCAGATGGTGCAATTTGCACAGCAATCACATAGTGCTAAACGCAGTGACGTTTCTTATTGGTGTTGCAAATTGTCCACGTTCACATGACTTCTGGGCAGCAAGAGGGGAAAAGCCGTACAATTCCGGACCCTGGTCCGGAAGTGTACAGCATGGTATAAAGTTCACATGGCTGCAAATTCAATATTGGGAAGTTGTTTCGTGGCTACCGAACTTTGTTGATTGCATCATTTAAATCCTTGCCAGAACCTGCCATAGAATAGGATGCTCTTTTGTCATGGCGGGACCAAATGCTTGCTTGTGTAGAAGCATTAGAAGCTCGACGATTGATACAAACGTGAATGTTCTGGTATTCCTACACATTGTGATCATTCTTACTGGTCACATTAGCCAGTTTGCCATGTCATTGAATGCGCTGGAGGTGGCATCCAAACCACGAAAGATCATTTACAGACCGGATGTAGCTCCGGACTCCTCCCAGCATTTTCACTGCACCAACTGTGCCAACTGGTTTGGTAGTCGGTCACATGCATATCGGCACCAGTGCAACCGCCGCCGCGCCTGCGGTTGAGACTAATGCACCTCCCACATGTTTTAGCTAGTTACATCAACAATGCTGTGCCTGTGGGACGGTGCGAGCTGGTGACTTAACTTGTCATGCTTGAACACAGCAGGAGAGAATCTTTGCTAATTAAACCTTAAATACATGCCTTAAGTATGTAACATATGGCTTTCAAATTAACAACAGGGTGTAAGGGAGCTGACCGAGTAAGGCTTGGCAACAGGCCAAAAGGAAGTTGCCCTGCTAGCTGGCATATACTGATCTTTTGTGTTGGATAAGTGCAGCTAAGCCTAAGGGCTTTGTTTACGGCCGCGCCTGAATGCATATCAAGTCACTGCAAGTGGCTGAAACGAAGGTAATTCAAGTGCACTCCAGAATCCCGGCAGGGATGCTGTATAGTACATTGTGCACATTGTTATGGAGGTAATATACTATGCAGCATTTCAGAGGGGATTCGGGAGTCCATATGGCATATAATTGTCACTTTTTAGAAAGGAACAAAACATGAACACATAGCCAGCATATGACCATTGGGAACATGACTGAATTTACATATATGAGTGGCAATTCATGATCCGTCATGCTGCGCAAGGAGCATGACAACTGTCATGACCATGACTCTGCCTCATGACCGGTAACATGACCGGTCATGAGGCCTCATGAGTGGTCATGAGGCAACATGACCAGATCTATGACAGGAAACCCCCCGCATGACCACATCCATGACCAAGTCTTTCCCCGAGTGGACCAGAAGTACCCGCTGAGGCAGCTCTGGAGCAGTGTCCGCATGTGAGTGGTTGGGTGAAGCACTATGACGACGGGTGATCGCGTTAAGTCCGCGTTAGCTCGCGTTAGTTCGCGTAACGGTGCGAATCTTAGCGTTAGGTGCGAATGAGCATGCTTTTGTAACGCAAAGAGCTAACGCACAACGGCTATGGAAAAGCGGAAATCGGCCCTTCTGGCCAAGTTTTTTAAAAATTTATAATTTTCAGATTGTAAAGGTTTATTTGGAAATAAACTTGCGTCGTTTTGGTCAACTTGAACAATTCATCCGTGCGTATGTTGAAACGTGAAGCATACGCGCATGTGTAGCAAGGCGATACGCATGCGATTCCATATTGCGATTCGTGCGTGTGGGGAGACAATGCGTAAAGCAATTCGCGTCCACTCGCACATCAAACGCACACAGTCCGCAAGGCTATTTGCATGCGAATGCATGTTGCGTATCATGCGTATGAAGGCTGATTGCGTAAAGCTTAACGCGGCCTAACACTCACCTTACGCACACATTTCGCAACGCATTTCGCATGCTAATACATGCTGCGTTTCATGCGTATAAAGGCTCATTGCGTAAAGCTTAACGCAGCCTAACACTTACCAAACGCACACATATCGCAACGCAATTCGCATGCATATATGCATAGACTTGCCCGGTTATCGGGCCTACCACATAGACTTGCCCGGTTATCGGGCAATTGTGGCCGTTAATGGGGTACACGGAGACCGGTTACCAGGTGGATGGTTACCGGGGGTCGTTAATGGGGGTGGTTACGATTGGGTTACCGGGTTGATCGTTACTGGGCAGTAACCGGGGCTGGTTACCGGTTTGAAGACTATCGTTTTTCGCATTAATTTACAGCAGCAAGGACAGCCCTCTATGGCCGGTACTCAGCTCAGTGTCTTTTTTTAAAGTAATATATTCCTTAAAAGTAATAAACAGGCCATTTTGGCGTTTGGAAAAAAGGAATGAACTGAGGCCGATCCTCAAAGCCCTCAGCACTCCTCCTCTGGCGATCTAAGTGATGCCCAGCACTGTGCTGCATAAGCATGATGCTGCGTTTGCGGCGGTCCTGGATGATGTCCATGCCGAGGTAGTAGCGCGCCTCTCCAAGGTCTCGTACTGCGAAGCAACCAGCTATGGCCGCCTTGGCGGCCGCGACCAATTGCAGGTTGTGTGCCGCCACCAGCATGTCGTCAACGTGCACGAGCACATAAATTGAGCCGTCGGACCCTCGCTTGACGAATAGCGCTGGGTCGGACATAGATGGCTCATAGCCTAGCTTGCCCAACTCCGCCGCCAGTTTCTCGTACCAGCAGCATGGGGCTTGCTTGAGGCCGTAGACGGACTTTAACAGCTGGCACGCCTGCGTCGGGTCGCCGTTGCTAGCAACACTGTACAGCGCTGTACAGCGCTGTAACCTGGTGGCTGTCGCCTCCACAGCTCCTCTGCTAGGTCGCCTTTTAAGAAAGCCTTTTTGACGTCCATCTGATGGACCGTCATACCCCTGGCCACTGCCACAGCTAGAAGTGCCCGCAGGGAGGCTGCACGCGTGGTGGGTGCAAACAGCTCTCCGTAGTCTATGCCCGCACGCTGTTCAAATCCCTTCACCACCAAACGCGACTTATAGCGTACCTCACTGCCTGGCTCCTGTTTGATCTTGTAAACCCAGCGGCAGTCGAGGATGCGTGCACTGGGCGGCGGTGTGCCCGACTCCCATGTTTTGTTGGAGAGCTGCGACAGGATGTCGTCATCCATCGAACTCTTCCACTTGTCAGCTTGCGGACTCGCCACCGTTTCCTCATAATTGCGCGGCTCCTGCACCACACTGTTGCCTCCGCCGTCCACACTGCCGTCGGGCATGTTAAGCTCCTGCACCGCGCTATTGCCTCTGCCGTTGGCACTGCCGTCGGGTACGTTAAACTCAGCATCATCGGTGCTATCCGACGCTTTGTTAAGCAGCGGTGGACTACCCAAATCTTCGCCGCCGCCGCTGCTGTTGTTGGCCAGGCTGACCGGGGCCAGCGGCGGGTGCAGCGGTTGCTGTTGACTGCGAGTGTCAGGGTGGAGGGGGGGTGCTGGGTTCACTGGGGGCGGGGCATCCACTTGAGTTGGCGGTGTGGCAGGCTGTGTTGAGCCGCCACCAGGGTCGCTGCCGCCAGGACGGGTGGGGCTGGTGCTGAAGGGGGTGCCCGCCCGTTGAGATGCCGGGCCGCGGTGCTCGTCATCGAAGGTGACGTCGCTGCTAACAGTCACCTTGCCAACAACAAGGACGCGGTGGGCGGCCGTGTTGCATTCCGGTCCAAGGTAGGTTCCCGCCTTAGCGCGGGGACCGAGCTTATCCTGCTGGCTGGCTGGGATGCGGACGTAGGCCAGGCAGCCAAAGGTGTGCAGGTGGCTGACGTCGGGGGTGACGCCATGATAAGCTGCCCACGGTGTGGCCTCCCGGCCCTGAGAGGGAGCCACATTACGCTGGAGGTTGGTGTAGAGCAAAGCCTCCGGCCAATAGCTGTCCGAGAGGGCGGCATCTACGGCATAGCCCGCACACGGTTGAGGAGCGTGCGATTGAGCTGCTCCGCTGCTCCATTCTGCTCCGGGGTGTACAGCGCCGAGTGGGTGTGCGCAGTGCCGTGCTGGTGTAGCCACTGCTCCAGTTGCTCGGCGACATACTCATCACCGTTATCACTATGAAGTGTGCGTACCCGTGCATGGTTCGGGTGACGAGCCTCCAGCTGCATCACCATGTCCTGCAGCGCTTTGCCCACTTGGTTTTGGCTAACCTGCGTGCGAACAGCAGACAAACCGGAGGCACCGTCCAGCAGCATTAGCAAGTAACGTGCCCCACCTCGGCCCGTGGTCGGCATGGGCCCGCACAGGTCAGAGTGCACGACCTCCAGTGCATGCTGAGGTCGGTTGCCGCGGCTGACGTGGGCTGTAGCTGTGGTCTTCACGGTGACGCAGGCTTCACAGACGCCGTCGGCCGCCTGATGCAGCACCGCTGGAATGACCCGTGGTCCATGCACCAGCTGCTTGGTGATGAGCTCCTCCAGCACCCGCTAACCAAGGTGGCCGAACTGGCGGTGCAGGTGCTGTGCTGCTGTGAGTTCGGCGACTGAGCACTCAGTGGCGCCCAGTTGCCCTTGGCCGTTGCTGCTGTTGTTCGGCTGGTCTCCGCCGGCGCCACTGCTGGTTGTGCTGCCATCGCGGGTGCTGGGGGCGTCGGCGGCACTACCGCCAGCATCACCACCTCTGCCGGCTCTGTCTCCCGCGGCGCCGAGCGTGTTGACGGCGCGTTTGGTCGGCGCAAGCAGGTCCACATCCATGACGTAATGCCCGCACTCACTCCATGCGGTGATAGACAAGCTGCTGTGCGGGAGGCCTACACGCGAGAACCGGTGGCCCATCTTGTCCGTGCCGAACGTGACTGAGTAGCCGCGCGTCACGAGAAGGTCGACAGACATGAGTGTGAGTCCCGTGCTGGGGACATGTAGCATATTGAGCAGCCAGACGGATTCTCCATCGTGCATCCTAGGAGCAACTGCCCTGTTCCCATGACGTCGGCTAGCTGATTGTTTCCCAACTTGATCTGTTGAGGCGCGCCGACAGGGATGTAATTGTGCATCAAGGAACGGTCACCCGTGAGGTGGTAAGGTGAGCCAGAGTCTAGGACAACACATGAACTGCTACCACTGCCATCGACGACCAGCACCGTGGCACGGTTCTGGCGTGAGCTTCTTCCGCCACCACCGCCGCCACTGCTTCCACCTGCAGTGTCGCTGCCATTGCGGCGGCCGTTGCCGCATCCAACATGGCCGCGTTCACGTGCCCTGTCACCCCCGCTGTTACTGACATTGCCGCTGCCGGTGCCTCCGCCGCCGCCGTCACCATGGTGGTTGCCGCTGCCACTGCTGCCGGCGCCGGTACTGCATGGCTGCTCGAACACATTGCTGCGGTAGAGACCGACGAACTCGTCTGCTAGCTTAACGGGGCGTTCACGGACATAGTGCCCAGGCTGTCCACAGTAGCGGCAGATGTCGTTGGCCCCAGCGGCGCCCGAGGCGCCAGCAGCACCACGGACTCCTGGTGTTCCTGCCGTTGAATACGGACATGTTTGCACCGGGCGAGGGCGGGTCGAGCACTTTCCTCCCCCCCCGTCTTGCCAGGTCGTAGCATTACGGGTGCAGTTTTAGCTAGGGCGCAATCGTGTAGCACTCGGGCGGATAGTGTGGCGCTTCCCCGCTACTCTTTGGATCTTCAGTCGGTTGCGGCCCCCCCCTCATGACTAAGTTGTTGGTGGCGCAGCTGCAGCTCGCGGCTCCTAGTCTGGATCACTCTGCGCGTCTTTTGCAGATTGCTCAGGTTGTCATGTCTCGTGTTGGTGCCAAGACCTGGCAGTCGTATGCGTCGCATTTTGCCGCCTTTGTGTGTTTCTGCGTGGACGAAGGTTTGGAGTTACTCCGGGCCTCCCATTATGCCGGGCTCTTGTGGAGTCAGTTTCTCGCTGCCAAGGGCTCCATCCAAGTCCGCACAGCGCAGCCTTATTTCAGTGCTATTATCTCCGGGCATGACTTGCTCGGGAACCCTAAGCCCTGTGTCGGAGACAACACCCTGTTGGCAGCGTTTCGTCGAGGTTGGGAGCGCTTGCAGCGCTCAACGGTGCCTGCTTCCGTGCTCGTGTTGGCCTTTAGTGCAGGTGATGCTTGGCATCTTTATGAGCAGTTGGCCGTGGTGCCCGTTGGCTCCGAGTTGGCCTTGCCGTTGTTGTTCGTCGTGTTGAGTTTCTGTCTCTTGCTTCGCCCAGACTCTCTGCTGTCGGTAACCTGGGTGCGTGTTGCTGTCGTCCAAGGGGAGCAAGTTGTTCAGTACAAACCCCTCAATTGGAAGGGCCGTTTGGTTGCCGTTTGGTTGCCCGTTTCCCTGCAGTGGGCTGTCCATCAGCGTTTTTTGCGTGATCAGTCGTGGTTGTGGCTGGCTGGTCAGTCTACGCGTGGTGCTGAGTGTTGGTTTGACTTAGTCCTTGCAGAGTGTGGTTTGCCTCATATGCGCGGGGTGCATTCTCTCTATAGCCTGCGTCGTGGTGGCGCTTCCGCTGCTCGGGCGGTGGGAGTACCGTTTGAGATCGTTGAAGTGTTTGGCGGTTGGTCTGCCGGCTCGGTAGCCTTCCGAGAGCACTAGTTAGGCTTTGGCGTTTGTGCTTGTCCTGCGGTGGTTGCTTTCTCTGGCCCTCTTGCGGCCCATCATGCTGCGCCGTTTGGTGCTCAGTTTCTGAACCGCTAGAGGGGGTATCTTCTCTTTTGGCATTTACCTATGGAGCAACAACTAATGCGAGCTTGCGTTGAGTAAGCTGGGTTAGTTGGGTGTAAGGCCCAATGCGTGACTGTTAGTCTAACTGTCTCGCAACGGCTCGTGTCCTCATGGCTGTCATTTATATGCGCGTTTGGCTGGTTAGCTTATCTTTTTTTTGTTGTTCAGCGCGCCTATATTAGTCGGGTATAGCCTGCGCCATGTGCCCATAGACGTACGACCGGCCGTCAAACCTGGTGACAGATAACTTGGCAGGTGGGTGGAACCTACAGTCCAGCCCTCTGCTATGGGATGCATCTCTTCAACATCATACAGAAGCGACAGTTAAAAGAGCATTAGTTATTCATATTGTTCATCATACTTGGTCTCCAGGACATGCATGTCTCATCCTTCCAGAGCAGGCCCACATTGGAACACTCATGCTCCCGTTTACCCTTACCCCTTTCAAGCTTGTACGACAGGTATGATGTCAGTATTATGTGTGGGTCCACCTTGTCAGTATCCCGGACGTGCGGTCAACATTAGCCATAGCACGATTATGTTCGGGGACCTAGCCATCCATCTCCCCACGTGAGAAGCATGGATAGGGTGCGAGGTAGCGCATGATGTGCCAGTGCCTTGCTAGCACTACCATCAGGCCCTGACGCTTGGGGTGCGGCAAGGCCCAGCACGGCCATGGCACAATGGACTGAGCCAACAACAATGCTTCGCCCTCCACCGGTTCGCTCTGTACAATTGGCAATCGCAACTTCTTATCCACCTGCTGCTGTTCATTACGTGCACTGAACCATGCAGCCTTCACGATCACACGCTCCGCTCCATCAGGCCCCCTGTGCTTCAGCAGCCGCTGCACTTTCCCAAACCACATCTTCATGGTCCCCCGGGACCGTCGTAGGAACCAGCTTCCAATTGATAGCCTAGCAATGCCAACAGACACGACTTGGAGCAAGTCAGCAGTTGCATCTAGATCAACTCCAGCGATCCCTGCTTCAGCATAGAATGCTGTTAGCTCCGCAAGCGAGCACTATGACGACGGGTGATCGCGTTAAGTCCGCGTTAGCTCGCGTTAGTTCGCGTAACGGTGCGAATCTTAGCGTTAGGTGCGAATGAGCATGCTTTTGTAACGCAAAGAGCTAACGCACAACGGCTATGGAAAAGCGGAAATCGGCCCTTCTGGCCAAGTTTTTAAAAAATTTATAATTTTCAGATTGTAAAGATTTATTTGGAAATAAACTTGCGTCGTTTTGGTCGACTTGAACAATTTATCCGTGCGTATGTTGAAACGCGAAGCATACGCGCATGTGTAGCAAGGCGATACGCATGCGATTCCATATTGCGATTCGTGCGTGTGGGGAGACAATGCGTAAAGCAATTCGCGTCCACTCGCACATCAAACGCACACAGTCCGCAAGGCTATTTGCATGCGAATGCATGTTGCGTATCATGCGCAGTCATGCGTATGAAGGCTGATTGCGTAAAGCTTAACGCGGCCTAACACTCACCTTACGCACACATTTCGCAACGCATTTCGCATGCTAATACATGCTGCGTTTCATGCGTATAAAGGCTCATTGCGTAAAGCTTAACGCGGCCTAACACTTACCAAACGCACACATATCGCAACGCAATTCGCATGCAAACAAATGTTGCGTTTCAAGCGTATGAAGGCTCGTTGCGTCAAGCTTAATGCGGCCTAAGCTAACACACAACAAGCACACACGATTTACCTTTGATGAATCGCATGACATAACATTTCGCATGCGATGTTTTATGTGTTGGTCGCATACTCAGTTCGTTAACCTTCACGCAGTCTCATGAGAGAATAACATGTTTGGCAGCACTCAGGGGGCCCTTCCGCAAACGAAATCGCACCAGGTGCAGCCCTACACCGCACAACGATTCATCATACCATCAACTAGATGCCAGAAAGGTGGCGGGACATGCCGCATGCGAACGCGCACGCAATTAGACCCCCGCCGTGAGATGCGTCGGCGGCTGTGAGGCAGGTGGGGACATGCCTGTGAGGCTGAAAGGGCTTCCGGACGCATAAATCGCACCAGGCGCCGTCGTACACCGGACCAACGATGCATCATAACAGTAACTAGTTGCTAGAAAGGCGGCAGGAATAGGAGCATCCATACGCGCACGCAATTAGACCCCCGCCGTGAGATGCGTCGGTGGCTGTGAGGCAGGTGGGGACATGCCTGGAGGCTGAAAGGGCTTCCGGACGCATAAATCGCACCAGGCGCCGTCGTACGCCGGACCAACGATACATCATAACATTAACTAGTTACTAGAAAGGCGGCGGGGAATAGGAGCATCCATACGCGCACGCAATTAGACCCCCGCCGTGAGATGCGTCGGTGGCTGTGAGGCAGGTGGGGACATGCCTGGAGGCTGAAAGGGCTTCCGGACGCATAAATCGCACCAGGCGCCGTCGTACGCCGGACCAACGATACATCATAACATTAACTAGTTGCTAGAAAGGCGGCAGGAATAGGAGCATCCATACGCGCACGCAATTAGACCCCCGCCGTGAGATGCGTCGGTGGCTGTGAGGCAGGTGGGGACATGCCTGGAGGCTGAAAGGGCTTCCGAACGCATAAATCGCACCAGGCGCCGTCGTACGCCGGACCAACGATGCATCATAACATTAACTAGTTGCTAGAAAGGCGGCAGGAATAGGAGCATCCATACGCGCACGCAATTAGACCCCCGCCGTGAGATGCGTCGGTGGCTGTGAGGCAGGTGGGGACATGCCTGGAGGCTGAAAGGGCTTCCGGACGCATAAATCGCACCAGGCGCCGTCGTACGCCGGACCAACGATACATCATAACATTAACTAGTTGTTAGAAAGGCGGCAGGAATAGGAGCATCCATACGCGCACGCAATTAGACCCCCGCCGTGAGATGCGTCGGTGGCTGTGAGGCAGGTGGGGACATGCCTGGAGGCTGAAAGGGCTTCCGGACGCATAAATCGCACCAGGCGCCGTCGTACGCCGGACCAACGATGCATCATAACATTAACTAGTTGCTAGAAAGGCGGCGGGGAATAGGAGCATCCATACGCGCACGCAATTAGACCCCCGCCGTGAGATGCGTCGGTGGCTGTGAGGCAGGTGGGGACATGCCTGGAGGCTGAAAGGGCTTCCGACGCATAAATCGCACCAGGCGCCGTCGT